AAAAAATAGGAAATGGGAATTGAAAAGATGTGCTTTCATATTTTTTGTAACTGCACAAAAATTAATATAATGGAAAAGAAGAAACACTTCCTGGAGCTGGAGACCAAAGAGATTTTAAAATTCTAAAAATTCAGTTATACATTAACAAAAATTTAAAAAGTAGAAACCAAGAGGCTGATTAACCATATCTGTTTACTCATCAGTCAGTATCCCAGAATTCTTTCTGCAATTTTTGTGCCACCATTTAGTATCTCTAATGTGGAAATAATTATTAAGAGTTAACTCACTTAGCAACAAAATCTATGAGCGTCAATATTAGACCACTTTAAAATATAGAAATCTGATTTTCATATTTCCCAATAAACTTAAAAATTGATTAAGTCATAGATTATGTTATTTTAGGTCAATTTTCAGCATTAAGAGAAATATTTAAAGCAAATTTTCAATATTGATTACAACGAGAGATCATAAGTGTTCTACAGTGGGAATTACCATCATCTATCAAAGAAAAACCAAGTTTGGGAAGCAAAAATGGAAACAACCTACATAGGTTATAACAAAATTCTGGGCCTTTGACTTCAGCTAACAAAATAGCCATGATGTAGAATTTAAGAACTTTGTTTTAAGCTCTTAAGCAATGTCTTACGTGCGTAAGTAACATCACTTTCTGCCATCATCATTATCTGCCAGCTATCAATCAACAACCACAATGCTTGTAAAGCTTGTTTAGGTACCAGAAGTGGCCTTGGCCTGTGGCTGGATGGTGCGTGCTCACAGTGCATGGGTCTCTGCGTGTACTTAGACACATGCTTTGTGTTTTGTTTCCACAGTCCACCAAGCAGAGAATACAAGTCAGTTCACATTCTTTGCAGTGAACAATTTGGAAAATGAGATTGACTCACTGAAGTCTTATTCCTTTTTGCTTCCTTTCTAGGGCCTAGTACAAGTGCCTTGTTAAAATTGATAATAGAGGCCCAGATACAATGTGTATGGATGTATTTTCAGAAGGGTGACCTCAGTTTCCTCAGTCACCCATCCACATAAGACATTGCTTCTTCCAGTGGTGGGAGAGAGAAGAAACTTGCCCCTGTCCACAAAGGCTTTTGAATAGTGGCCCAGGGCCCCATTTGTTTCCCTTTCCAGAGCACCAGACCTGGGATGCTGGCTCTGTTGGCATGAAAAGTTGAGTGAAGCCGACATTATCTGCTAAACACAAACATATGCCAAACCTGTGTTTGATCTTCATACAGAGGGATCCAAAATAAGGAAACTGACCAAGATAATTCCTGTTCCCTTGATGTTTTCCCATTTTATTAGTGATCTCCTGATTAGCCTGAAAAGGTATAAGATGAACAGTCCACCTAGGAAGGTCGCAAAGGAGGAGAGAATAAACCCTGTCTGGATCTCAGATGTGCAGGCTCTTCTTCTCCATTCTCCCCCATCGTCTTCATTTTCCTCTATATATCGAATCATTTTCAAAGTGTCAGGAGACGGAATTGTAGGGCTCTTCTATGAGGTCATCACCACATGGTCATGATTCTAAGAATTAGAGTTCCTGGTATTACAGCATCCTGACACGGGGGCGGGGTGGGGGGGACCAACCAGTCCAGCACCAGCACCTGCTGGCCCCCGTAGTCTGACTCACAGGTTGCAATTTAATAAGCAGCTCAAGGTGGCTGGAGCCCACCGCATGTGCAGTCAGAAGATGGAATTCTAGATATGAATTCTGACTTCTCCACCCTCTTAGCTAGGATCAGCTGGCTATTTATTTGGTTTGTTCAGGCAAACAATTTCAAAACAACTCCTTGTGAGTAAAATGATATTCAACTATATCTGTGTGTGAAGGAGTTCATTCTTTATTTGAGAGGATGACAAATTCTCAATAATCACAGAGGGACAGAAGACTTTGGTATTTTCTTTCATCCTTAAACAAAGTAGTAGATATATATGTGCATAATACATATATATGACAAATAAGTCTAATGTGTAATATGAAGATGATACTTAACAGTATTGTTTTGTATTTGGGATTTTTGCTGAAAGAGTAGATTTTAGGAACTCTGGCCTCACACACACAAAAGGATAAGTACAGGAGATGATGGAATGTCAACTTACTTGGCTTTAATAGTCATTTCACTATGAAAGTACATAAAAGCCTGCATTCTCCCGCATATATAGTAGCTAAAAAGTTGATTATCTGAAAATATAGAATAGATTGGTGGTTACCAGAGGCCTGGAAGGGTAGGTGGAGGGAATAAAGAGAAGTTAATTAATGGGCACAAATATATACGGTTTGAAAGAAGAAGTGATAGTTTCATAGATCAGTACGGTGACTTTACAATAATCTATCATATATTTCAAAATAGCTAGGAGAGAATAAATATTTTTAGCCTAAAGAAAAGAAAAATAAGGTGATGGCTATCCTAATGGCACTGATTTCATCTGCATAAATTGTATGAATGTACTAAATTGTCACATGTATCTCAGAATTTAAAAAATCATGTTGTAGTCCTAAAATATACACAACAAAGAAAAAGGATTGCCTTGAAACAAACAAACAAAGTCTTGTCTGTCCTTAATAACAGAGATGTAGTGCAGGTATGGAAGAAAGCAGTTTACTAGTGTGGTCTTCAGTTGATTGTTATTTGAACACACAAACTATTCTTTTTTTTTT